CTGTGACTGGAATCCGAAAGTTGGAAACAAAGAAGAAGGATCAGTAGCTGGAAAACATGGCCCTGGTGATAGAAACACCACCAGAGATTCCATGATAGAATTCTGCAAGACCAATGACTTATTCGTTGCAAATACCACTTTTCAGCAACATGAATGGTGACTATACACGCAGACCTCACCAGATGGAATACACAGGAATAAAACTACATCTGTGGAAAGAGACAATAAAGAAGTTCAAAATCTCCAGTTAGAACAAGGCCAGGGGCTGACTGCCAAACAGATCATCAACTGCTCATATGCAAGTTCAAGATGAAGCTGAAGAAAATTAAAACAAATCCACGAGAGCCGAAGTACTACCTTGAGTATATCCCACCTGAATTTGGAGACCATCTCAAGAATAGATTTGAAGCATTGAACACTAATGACCAAAGACCAGACAAACTGTGGAACGACATCAAGGACATCATACATGAAGAAAGCAAAAGTTAATTAAAAAGACAGGAAGGAAAGAAAAGACCAAACTGGATGTCAGAAGAGACTCTGAAACCTTCTCTTGAATGTAGAGTAGCTAAAGTGAGCAGAAGAAATGACAAAGTAGAAGAGCTGAACAGAAGATTTCAAAGGGCAGCTCGAGAAGACAAAGTAAAGTATTATAAAGAAACGTGTAAAGACTTGGAGTTAGAAAATCAAAAGGGAAGAACATTTCAGGAGGTAACATATGATCAAGAACTGATGGTACTGAAGGAAGGAGTCCAAGGCACTGGTGAAAAACAAGCCTCCAGGAATTGACAGAATACCAATTGAGATGTTTCAGCAAACAGATGCAATACTGGAGGTGCTCACTCATCTATGCCAAGAAATTTGGAAGACAGCTACCTGGCAGCCAGTTGGAAGAAATCCATATTTGTGCCCATTCCAAAGAAAGGTGATCCAACAGAATGTAGAAATTATCAAACAATGTCATTAATACCACACCCAAGTAAAGTTCTGCTGAAGATCATTCAAAAGCAGTTGCAGCAGTACAACAGGCAACTGCCAGAAATTCAAGCCGGATTCAGAAGAGGACAGATCTTGGCTGAAACCAGAGAATACCAGAAGATGTTTACGTGTGTTTTATTGAGTAGCCAAAGGCATGCAACTGTGTGATTATACCAAATTATGGGTAACACTGTGAAGAATAGGAATTCCAGAACACTTAATTGTGCTCATTGAGGAACTTGTACATACGCCAAGAGGCAGTCACTTGAATGGAACAAGGGGATACAGTGTGGTTTAAAATCAGGAAAGGTGTGTGTCAGGGTTGTATCCTTTCATCATACTTATTCAATCTGTATGCTGAGCAAATAATCTGAGAAGTGGGACTATATGAAGAAGGCGGCAGCATCAGGATTGGAGGAGGACTCATTAACAACCTGCAATATGCAGATGACACAAACTTGCTTGCTGAAAGTGAAGAGGACTTGAAGCACTTACTGAAGATCAATGACTACAGCCTTCTGTATGGCTTACACCTCAACGTAAAGACATTAAAAATCCTCACAACTGGACCAATAAGTAACATTATAATAAACAGGGAAAATACGTAAGTTGTCAAGAATTTCATTCTTCTTGGATCCACAATCAACACCTATAGAAGCAGCAGTCAAGAAATTAAACAATGTACCGCATTGAGCAAATCTGCTGCAAAAGACCTCTTTAAAGTATTAAAAAGCAAATATGTCACTTTGAGGACTAAGGTATGCCAGACCCAAGCCATGGTATTTTCAATTGTCTCATATGCATTGTAAAAGCTGGACAGTGAATAAAGACTGAAGGATTGATGCCTTTGAACTATGATGTTGGCGAAGAATATTGATATCCCATGGACTGCCAGGAAAATGAACAAATCTGTCTTGGAAGAAGTACAGCCAGAATGCCCCATGGGAGTGAGGATGGCGAGACTTTGTCTCTCGTACTTTGGACGTGTTATCAGGAAGGACAAGTCCCTGGAGAAGGACATCATGCTTCGTGTCATGGTTTGAATTATGTCCCCCAAAAATGTGTGTATCAATTTGGCTATGCCATGATTCCTGGTACTGTGTGATTTTCCTGTATGTTATAAACCTGCCTCTATGATGTTAATGAGGGAGGATGGGTGGCAGCTGTGTTAGTAAGGCAGGACCTGATCTACAAGACTGGATTGTGTCCTGAGGCAATCTCTTGAGATATAAAAGAGAGAAGTGAGCAGTGAGACAGGGGGACCTCATACCATCAAGAAAGGAGTGCCGGGAGCAGAGCGCGTCCTTTGGACTGGGGTCCCTGCACCGAGAAGCAACTAGTCCAGGGGAACATTGATAAGAAGGCCGACAGAGAGAGAAAAAGGCTTCCCCTGGAGCTGACGCCCTGAATTTGGACTTTTAGCCTACTCTGACTCTGAGGAAATAAATTTATCTTCGTTAAAACCATCCACTTGTGGTATTTCTGTTATGGCGGCACTAGATGACTAAGACACTTGGTAAAGCAGAGAATCAGTGAAAGAGAGGAAGACCCTCAATGAGCTGGACTGACACAGTGGCTGCAACAATGGACTCAAACATAGCAACAATTGTGAGGATGGCACAGGACTGGGCAGCGTTTCATTCTGTTGCACGTGGGGTCACTATGAGTTAGAACCAACTCCACGGCATCTGACAATAACACAGGCCTGGTCTACAGTGAAGTCGGCGTCAGTGTCGTAACAATGAATTTTGAGTCCTAATGGCTGTCAAGCGCATGCACAGTTCAACTGTTGTATGTTGTTAGAGTTGAACACTGCCCTACTTTCTATCCAATTCCTGACACCAACACCAATTTCACTGTAGACCAGGCCACAGCCTGCTTTAAGGCAGCGTTTTGAACAATAAATTATAAAATCGAACATCTGCGAGTAAACATCTGAGAATAACATCGGCAAATTACACACAGCAACACCGTATGTAGTAGATATTACTAACAATAAGATGTAAAAAAAAAAAAAAGCGATGGTCATTAAGTGTGGTTCGTAGTAACGGAAATAGGTAAGTAGGGGACTACCTGTATTCAGAATGGAATGAAGGAAAAAAGAGTAAACAAAATAAAAATAAAGATCATGATGGTGGAAACTGATCAAAGATATATGTATTTTTTTTTAGGTGATTAAAAAATCTTCTAAGCATACCTTCAGCTCTCTATGAGTTCTGTACATATTGAGAGTCAAAGAGAGTATAATCCAGCCTCAAGAAACCAACGGCAAAGGATTCTGGAACTATCATCAGATCACACTTTGGGACAGAGACACCAACCCAAGATGAAGAATCTTGGACTTGTCTCTTATTATTTATATCTCACACTGTAATGAAAATCAACAAGCTTCCTCATAGTCAACACTGTTAAGAGCGGGCTTTCTAACCAACTACCACCTTCTATCTGTACCTAACAGGAGTTCAATTTCCTAAGAGCCAATTCAAAAATGAGACTCATTACTAAATGCTAATAAACTGAACTATGTTTATTTCAGCTTTAAAAAGTGCCCCTTTTCATCTATAGTTTCCCTTTTTTACTCGTTTATCAGTATTGACACTGAATCAATTTCTCAAGCTCATAAAAAACACACTTGCTGACTTTAATTCCTTGTACCCTGGCATCCAATTCAGATGATGTTAATGAACAAACTGTGCTCTGGATTATTTAAACCCAATGGCTGGATGAAGATGACGATAGGCATAATACGGATAAAGAAAAGAGGTCCCAGACCTGAGCTTTGGGCCCACCAACCTTTAGGGATTGGGAAGGAAAAGAGAAGACTGGAAAAGAGTGGCAGGGGAGAGGAAGAAACAAAGACAGTGTCTCCAAGAGCCAGGAAGGACGTGTTTCGAGAAACAGGCAGTGGTTAACCACATCCAGTGTCACGGAGAAGGCGAATACAAAGGCTGAGAGTCAGTTTACACTGGATTTGGCAAAATAGAGGTCACTGGTATACGTATTGCTAAGTGGAGATGGACTGAAGGGGGCCAAGACAGGGCAGGGAGACCTGCAGGGTGACTCTTGTACATCCAGGGAAGAGATGGTGAGCGGTGGCTGGATTTGGGATATATTTTGGAGACGGATCCAGCAGGACTTGCTGATGGACTACTTGGAATCAGGGAAAAGGAAGTCAAGGATGACGGCTCCCTTTCTGGCCTGAGCAACCACTGGAGGGTAGGGAAAGGTCTCTGTTTAAGACACGTTAAGGTTGAGATATCTATTTTACATAGCCAAGTGGAGACATGAAGGCTAGTGAGACTGCCAGATACACACGTCTAGACCCTGGAGGAAAAGTCAGAGCTGGAGATGCACGTTTGGGAGTCTCACTATATTTATGTGATCTACTTATTTATTTATAACCACTTAATTCTCATACAAAGTTAAAAAACCAGTCAACTATTCCTAACTACACAATGTTCACGATGAAAAACCGCAGTCCCCTGCCTCACTTCTTACTACCCTCCCCTTCTCTAACTTACAACCTTCTGTTTTCCCTGGGGTTGATAATTGCCTCACTTTTTGTACTCACATTGCTTTTTATGACTTTTTTTTATCCCCGAGCTCCCCAACAGATACAGATGACATTTAAATCCATAGACATCACCAAGGGAAAGACTGTGGATAGAAACAGGGAGAGGGCAGGTCCTTTGGTACTCCAGTATTTGGAAGCTCAGTCAGAGGAAAGGGTCATCAAAGGAGAAAAACCAGGAGAGCATAGTATAAAAGCCTACCAAAAAAGTGTTTCAAGAAGGAAGGATTAATCAACTGAGAGGTTAATCTTACTTTCTGTCAGGTATACTGATTCAGACTTTGTTTCAGCACAGCTAAAAGGAAGTAAATACATCAAACACAATTATAAACTGCACATAAGCACAGTCATACACTCCAAGGAGTAGAATGGTTTCTAGATTTCTGGGGGAAGGGGGAAACTTTTAATTCTCTCTCTCCAATCTTCTTTTACTCCCCACCCACAACCTTACCTGAATCCAGTCTCCGAGTTAATACTGCTGGGGTAAGCATAGATTTTTTCTTCTTCGAGTACATCAGGCCTTGGTTTAGCTTTATTAAATTTTCGGATTTTCACTAAAATAATAAAACCATTATTAGTCAGACTATCTGATTATGAAAAATGTTGTTTTCAATTATTCAAACTATATTAATTGGCTATTTACAAATAAATTTATATGCATAAAATTGCTTCATAAAGTGAATGAACAGGTACATATCATACCAACTTTGGACATGTTATCAGGAAGGACCAGTCCCTGGAGAAGGACATCATGCTTGGTAAAGCAGACGGTCAGTGAAAAAGAGGAAGACCCTCAACAAGACGGACTGATGCAGTGGCTGCAACAATGGGCTCAAACACAACAAGGACTGTGAGGAGGGCGCAGGACCAGGCAGTGTTTCGAGCTGTTGGACGCAGGGTCGCTGTGAGTCGCAACCGACCTGATGGCACCTGACGACAGCAATGAACTCAAACACTGTAAAGCCTACTATGCGCCAGGCCTCTCTGCTAGGCATGAAGACAGCAGCCAGTGAGGCAGGAGATGAGAAAAGGGACGTGGGGAGCCCAGATCAAGCGTCAAATGTCAATGGAAGGCTGAAGAAGATGAGGATGAGCAACAAGTGTTATATGCGAGAGCTGCTGGGGAATCCAGCTCGAGTCGCTCGTGTTCACGTATTATCTCCCTAAAGTGGTTTCTTCCACATGATGATTTCTAAATAAATGAAGCACCTTAGAGCATATTCATCTCTTAGACATAAAAATTTCTTGGACTGGAGAGAATACCAGTTATGTGGTATTAAAGTACAACAGTCAGAAATAAAAAACATACCCATGGTCTGACAATATAAAAAAAAGTCCACCTTTCAGACTCATCTTTGCATTTTTAAAATAAATTAAATTGGATGGACTCAGCATTTTTCAGATCGCGGGTCAGGCAGTAACACTGATACAAACCACATGGAATAAGAATCTTCCACTTGCGTCCATGGGACACCATCAAAATATTAAAAAGGACAGGTGGGTTTGTTCACTGTTTACACTTTCCTTCATTCTGTGCTGAAGCTCCGACAACTTCAGGGCAGCTCTACCGGCGGCTGGACGGCCAGTAAGTAGGTGGCAATCGTTTACTGATTCATTTGCCGATTTTCAAATGAATGGAAAACTAATCAGATTTATTATCATGAAACTGTTTCAAATTTTATTTCACGTATCTCTTCCCTCTAGAAGTACACATGCATATTAACGTTCACTAAGAGGAGTTCATTTTGGTTAGCTGTAGAGATTAACCACTTACAACGCAAATAAATTGGTCCCGTTTAAGTTAGAAACACTGTATCAGAGAATCATGTCCTAAAAGCCACTACCAACGTTACTAAAATGAGCTATCTTTTACAATATTTTTTTAGTAAAGGAAAGCAAGAAAAATGCAGGTGTTGGGGAACCAGGCTTAAATTATCTGTGACAGAGTGAACAAAGGAACATTTGTCCCTAGAAGTTACTCCCTAAATTCTCTCCTGTCAGAGCAAATGGTACATTTAAAGGCACACTATAATTTTAAAAGTAAGCACATTATTGTAAATGTGGAGGAAAAACAGTTACACTTAAACCTTCGGAAAAAATTCAGTATTTGCAGAAAGCCTGCACTAAGTAAATTTAAAATAATTGTAATAGCTGTAAATCTTTCCTATATAAATCATCTCTATTTAATTTGCAAGCCTGAATTAACAATTATCACTTACATTAAGGAGCACATTGATTTGAGAGTTAAAAAGACAATATTTAATAGTGCATTTTATTCAAATTAAACATTTAAAAATTAATGTAAATAAATTCTCTGACGATGGACCAAAGCAATTCTTTCTAGTTTAGGAAGACAAATGATTAATATAAATGCTGTATACTAAAACAAAATTCTTTTTTTTGTTCACGTTTGGGTATCATGTAACGAACCCATTTGTGCCCAAACATAAAAATCAGTTCCTCTCCGGCCTCCTGGGACATCTGCTCCCGTTGCCTCTTTTTCAATGGACTCAGTTTTTTGTCTTTTGTTTTTAATCAGTACTCGTCTTATTTTACACTATGATGAATTTTAAATGCTAAAGCAAATCCTTCACAAATACCAGAGTGAATCCTAGAGAAAAAAATCTTGGACACATTTTAACCACATAAACTTCCTCTGATTGACGTGGTGACATTCACATGATCTTTGGAATACAGCTGTCACCTCCTTCCATGTCACAGAGCATTATACAGGTATTACAGGACAGACTTTAAAAAGTTATCTACCTGATACTCTACTGAAGGCCTGCACACCTTGCAGTAAATAACAATTGCACAAATACTATAAAGTGACATAGTAAACGAATATATGCTCCAATCTAAACTCTAACCACTAATCACAATTCAACTAACAGACATAAAATATCACAGAATGGAACTGGTCTCAACAAGATAATTTGTTTCTGATACTTTGTTGAAGTACTGAGCGCTTTCCTATGTACTAAACAATTACCGTTACTTTAAAACTAAAGTCTCATTCTTTTCTATAAAGTTAACTGGGTGGTATGCACTCGCCCTTTCTTCTTCTTTTTTTTTTTTTTTGAATCCTCTACCTAATTTTGCTAATTGTTAGCTGATGAGTACAAAGTTATAAAAGTCAATGAAGAATGACAGATCAGTCATATTTATTCCAAGTGACAATCTAGTCAGTCCACTCACACTCTGAATACCCTTCTCTGGCCACAAGGAGACACACAAGAAATAAAAAAAAAACAAACACAAGCTAAGACCCACATGACTTCTTCCTTGATAACTAGAAAAAGGATCTCCTTCCAAACGGTCATCTGGATATACGAGGCATTTTACTGTCACAAAACAAGTATTATTCACTGCCACCGAGTTAGCTGCTATCACGGACTGATTTCATTACGTGTTAATGACCCAGCAGGAATGAAATCTAAATTTCTCCAGAGCTTGAATTTTTCTTCTGTTAATGTACCCTCCCAGATTATTTTTCCTGTTAACATACCTGAAGCCTACGTTGGTCTCACCAGGGAAGGTTTTGTGAAAGAAACAAGGCTCAGGCAGCCATAAACTTAGGAAGAAGTGAGTTGTGAAACCGTTTACCCAAAGCAAGCTTGGGGTAAACACAGGTTTGTGGGTATAATTTATTTGTTCACGTATTATTTAGTTTTCATTTTAAATGCCAGACTTACACTTCAGCTGCCTTTGGGGAAGCAAAACTTTACTTTTTCTTTTGTTTTTTAACAAAAAGACTTCACTTTAGTTGACAAAAATTTGGTGATGACAGACATTTCAAAATGGAACTCACTGGCGATTTTATCTTTCTGCTGGTTTGAAATTAGAGAAGTCTGGATGCGGTTAGCAAGGAGAGATGCAGGCACTAAACAGGTTCTCAGCTCCAAAGAAAAACGTCCCTGTCCCTAAGACAAAAGGCTAAGCTTCAAACTGGCAGGAAATGAAGCAGGTAAAGCTCTTTACAAGGCCAGCTCTGTTGTGATTCTCACCTGTGTACATGAGCAGACATGTCAGAGAACAGATCAGCTCCAGGGCCAGGACGGACAGGATGAAGTCAAGATACAAATCACTGGGCTGGGGGAAGGAATGCTGAATGCACAATATGAGGAGAAGCGCCGTGTTGCCTGGCGAGGAGAAACATGATCAGTGTTAGCCAGAGCCCAGCACTGACACGCACACACACACAGGCACGCACACACAGGCACACACGCGTGCACACACACGCACACAGAACAAGTCATACTTAGCAGTGGAGGAAGTCAAAGGATAAAAACCAAAACCAGCTAAGCTTTTGAGGGAAAAAAAAATGCATCTAAGAGTTCATGACGCCACACCATCAAATATAAAAGACTCTGAACTTTCTCAACCACTAAGGAATGACTTTTTTTGCTTTGTAGAATTATTAACAATGACATTTCTTTGGGTCTCCT